AATAAAAAAAATGGAAGAAGCACCTTGTAGTAGTTTGAATGTAATTGGTCACCATAATCTCCCAGGGCGTGGTACTATAAGGAGGTGTGACTTTGTTGGAGAGGGTATGGCCTTGTTTTAGGAGGTGTGTCACTGTGGGGCAGGCTCTGAGGTTGTCTATGCTCAGGATATTGTCAAGTCAGCTTCCTGTTGCCTCTGAGTCAAGATGTAGGACTCTCAGTTATTCCTCCAACACCATGTCTAGGGGCACCATGCCATGCTCCCCACCATAATAATGGACTGAACCTCTAAAACTGTAACCTCCATTAAATGTTTTCCTTTATAAGAGTTGCTGTGGTCAAGGTGTCTCTTCACAGCAATACAAACACCAAGACACACCTATTCTTAAAAAAATTCCCAGGCTAGGGATTTAGTTCAGTTGGTAGAGTGTCTGTGGAACAGGACAACCTCGAGTACGAGCTGCACCACCAATGCACAAAGAAAGATGACCTACATTTATGGGACTTGGAGACAGAAGACCAGAGGTCCAATACCATCCTCGGTTACCGACCTGCCTGAAAGAAACAAACTCCATATATTCCCCCTGGTGTAACCATCTGTCTAAAGAGAAGCTGGCATCACTCATACCTCTTTTGGCTTGTTTGTTTTGGCTTGGGTTTGGTTTTTTGAGATAGGGTTTCTCAGTGTAACCTTGGCTGTCTTGGAACTCGCTATGTAGACCAGGCCGGCCTTAAACTCTAGAGATCCACCTGCCTCTGCCTCCTTAGTGCTGGGATTAAAGGCGTGTGACACCACCATACCGTATTTATATCCAATTTGTCAATCACTACAGATAATTTCAGGAATAAAAAAACCTAAGACTCAGCACTTCAATAGAGAATATATTTTAACTTGTAATTTTGTTTTGTTTTGTTAAGACAACAGTGTTCTACGTAGCCCAGTCTGACCTCAAATCTGCAATTCTCCTGCCTCAGACTGCATTCTGAGATTTGGCAGTTTATTGAAATTAAAAAAAAAAGCCATATTAACCAACCAAACTATAAATGAAAAAAAGCTTCTAACCCATTTCTAATCTGTTTCAGACCAAAAGGGAAGTGCTCAATGGGGTTTAGTGGCACACACCTTTAATCCTAGCACCTGGAAGGTAGAGGCAGGAAGATCTTTTTTGAGTTTGAGGCCAGACTTATCTACCTAGTAAGTTCCAGATCAAACAGGGCTGCACAGTGAGACCCTTTCTCAATCTCCCCAGGAAAATCTACTGGCAGGTTTCTGTGCTGTCTTGCACCACTGAACTTTTGTTAAAGGTGACCAAACACCTCTTCTATTAACAAACTTTAGATTAAAAAAAAAAATCACACATAAAAGTTCTAAATCTACAAAATGGAAAGTGATTTTTACAATGTGCTTAACAAGCAGATTGCACTGCTGATCCCTAACAGAGAAAATGTGAAAGTGTTACTATTTTAACACTCAAAAGAACATTTAGCTAGCACATTACATTTTAGTCTTCATGATAAACCCTCTAAGCTTTCACCAAACCATTACAACCTCCTTTCAAAGTCCTCCAAAGAGGCATTCTCTTTACCAAATAAATCAGGAAAACTACATTTCAACAGCAAAACTTATAAGGCAGCCATCCTTCCCCACCACCCCGACTTTTTTCTCTTTCCCTTCAGTGCTGAGGATCCAATCTGCCTGTTAAGCAAGCCCTCTGTCCACCAGAGTTACATCCCTAGCACCACCACACACTTCTGAGAGGGCCACAGGGCTCAACTACAAAGACAACTGATTTCAGTAATGCTACTAATACATGAAGACCAAAAAATACAAAATAAATCATCAAATGCCAGGAAACCCAGCTAGTCAGGAGGCTGAGTCAAGAAGACGGAAGTAGAACATAACTTGAGCAACAATATCAGAATAATACTTTGAAAGCCCACCTCAAAAGTATTGAATCCGTATAAGGCGTACACAAAACAAATAATATGAAGCAAATACTATATACTGTACAAGGTAACAGTACGGAAGAATAGAGAATACATAATATTTGAGAGAAATGAAATCTGAGCCTCCACTCTGCCACAACATCAAGAGGTGTGAATTTTAGAGATTATTTTATATGGATTTCACTTTCCCGATCTAAAAAAAAACAAAAGGCTGGATCCCAGTACTTCAATAGCAATGTTCCATGATATCATTAACATAAATCCATATAAAATTAAAAAGCAAAGGCAAGAAAAGGCAGTCAGGGGAAAAATGTTTAAGAAAAAAGCACAGCAATAAATATGTATGCAAATGCCATCACAAAACCCAATACTCTATAAGCTAACTAGAAAAGGAAGGGGGCAACAACAATAACAGCAAAGTTCAAAGAAAAAGAGCAACATAAGTAACAAATTTTTGACAGGCTTTACTCAAGGATCAAAATTAAAATTCTGGGGGCTGGAGGGATGGCTTAGCAGTACTGCTCTTGCAAAGGACCCAAGTTTGATTCCCAGCACCTGTATGAGGAGGCTCATAATTGCCTGGAAGTCCAGCTCCAGGTGATCTGACACCCTCTTCTGGCCTCCCTTTCCAGGCACCTGCGCTTGTGTGCACATATCATGCCCTCAACATACACGCATACTCATCATTTTAAAATCTTTTTTCTTAATTCTACATAAAACCCTAGCTGGGTGGTGGAGATGCCTCTCAAGGTAAAAGAACCTGCTGCAAGTCTGACAAGTAAGTTCAATTCAAGGGACCATATGGTGAACTGAAAGAACTGACTCCATTTGTGTACCCACACATATGCATGCACACTCACACGATAAACAAAAATGTAATAGCCAATATTTTTTAAAAAAACAATAAAACTTTGGATTCATGCTATGCCTTAGTGGTTTATGAGAAGCCCTGGGTCTGATCCCAAAACTGAAGGAAGAGGAGATGAGCAGGGAAGAAAGGGAGGAAATTAAGGAAGGAAAAAGATAAAGTTTAACAGATTTTTACATTGATACTTTGATAATTTGCAGAGAATATTTTCTTGGGGTTGGATAGATGGCTCAGTGGTTATGAACTCCTGCAGAGGATCTAGGTTCACTTCCCAGAACCCACAACATATGGTGTACGTCTATGTAGGCAAAACACTCAAACACACAAAATAAAAATACATCTTTAAAAGGCTGTGAAATCTAGACTAAAGGTATTACTGGTTCCTAAGCAGTGAAAAATATGTTCAAAGTATTATTTTAAGATCAGCACAGGCAGAACATATTTGAGCAATCCAGGCAGAAAACCGAGTTAGAGCTAGTGAGCAGCTTAGAGACAGAAATTAAACAGTCTAAGAATACAAAGATAAGATTTTTTTTTAAAGAAAATGACTGCAAAAATAGGTCAACGTTAAGGTTTATGTCTGGGTTACTCAAAGTGTGTTACATAATGCATCAGCAAAGAAAGACAGCTCATGGTATTGGCTCTGAAGGGAAGACTTTTAAGTTTTATTTCCAAGATAGGTTGACCTGAAAATCATCCTGGCCTGTCAAATTGTCTTCAAACCATCTGATTTGTTAAATGTTCAGTAATGTCAAGTGTTTCCTTCAATTTTACTTATCAGTGAAATAACTATTTAATTTTTTGGCATTGAAAACACGCATTTTTTTTCTCGTATTACCAGGTTAATTAATTTTTTCCAAGTTTTTCTGAGAAGGAATTTATAACAATAATCACATCAAAATATGAACTCTGGGAGAAAGTTCTCAAAATATGGAAACTAGCAGCATAAACTATCACTGAGTGTTTAATAAACCATTATATTAATGTGTCAACTGTTTACATGGCTCTGTGTGCACTAGAAAAATCTCAACAAAAAAATGCTTGAGGGGAGGGCAAATCTTTTAAAACTTAATACTCATGCACACAGCAGCTGGGATCTGAACACTATGCACACTTACAGATATTCTAGCCAAAACCTACAGATCAATTTTCCTCCAGAAAGCACAAAATGTGGCCACGATGTAAAAAGAACTATTCAACCAACCAAAGCATATGCCTTGACTTATTATCAAGATGTAAATAGAATTTCTATTTAAAAACGAGACTGAAAATTACCTAACAAAACTTTCTTCTTGGACTATTTCTCTATTGATTTTGTGACCTCACTAAAGGCTGAAAGCAAACAACGGATTTCCAGGTGTTTAAGAAATCGTTATGGCTGATCATAAAGCTACCAAACTTAAGCTTTTGAAAATGAACACTTCTTGCAAAACTTTACCCGTTTTAGCTGGACACTGACCTTGCTCCCCACCCCAAAATGGGGTCAGGAAGTTTTCTTCACCTCATTCTTCCCTAAGAATTCTTACCTAACTAACATAAGGGGTAGAATTTTCTTTGGGTGACTTCAGCTTGGCTCGACATTAACCGAGCGACGATGTTACGGTCCTCAACCATGAACAAAAACCCAGCTTCACCAGCTGTTAACATTAAACCGAACTCGAGCGGAAACCCGTGCGAAACGGTACACGACAGACCCAGCAAGCTGGTTTTCCTGGACCTCCCCCAGCTCGGCAGCCCCCCGGGTCACCCCCATCTCTCCTGCTCCAGAGCGGTAGGGGGAGGGGAGGGCGCGCCCCGAAGATGTCCCCCCTGACCGGCTTCCTCCCGCTGGCGGCTGGAGGTGAGAGCGCCCTTCCTGCCGGCCCGCGTCCCTACCTTCTCGGCCCCAGACAGACCCAACCACCGACTGCGATGGGGCTTTCTGCGAAGCGCGCCGCACACTTGCCCGCTCGCCTCCCCAAGCGGCGCTCCCAGCTCAGGAGAAGAGGCCGTGGGGTCACCGGGGGGCACGGCGGACACCCGAGCTCCACCGAGTCGCCTCCCCGCCCCCTCCGCTCCGCCGCCGGCAGACGGCGCCCCCGGGCTAACTTCGCCAGGGAAGAGGAAGCGACGAGACTAACAGAGCGGGCGGACCGGGAGGCCGAGAGGACCGTGCGTGTGTCCGCATGCAGGCGGGGCCGCCTCACCTTCCCTCCGCCGAGCCCGCGGCTCTCGTCGCCTGAGGTCTGCACCCGGACGCCACCGCGGCTGCCCGGAGGCCGTTACCGCACGAGGCCTGCGCTGCGCCGCCTCGAAGCTCTCAGGGAGAGGCGGGGCGAGAGCAACCGGTGGGCGGGCCGGTGCGGGCAGGAAACCCGCTCCGAGCCCAATCGGATAGGCTCCATCGACTGCGGCGCCCGCCCCTGACGCCACAGCGGAATGCGCCGCTCCGGGATTGGCCGAGCTGGCCTATCAATCCGGCGCGGCGCTGAATGGTCTGTGAGCTGAGACTGCGCGGCGCTCAGCTAGAAGGTGTGCACCGCTGGGCCTGTCGGCTGCGGTGTTCTTCCCCCGGCTTCCTCCGAGGCTGCTTACTTTCCGCCTCTCTCAGCGCTGCTGAAACCTGTCATTACAATCGCTCATTAAGGTCGGCCCCAAGTTCATCCCAGACTGCGCTGGTTCCTGCATCTGAAGGGGCCGCCCAGCTGCAGAGTCTTAGGGACAGGGGGCGACAAAGAAAAACTAGCCCGGGAGGAAAATGTAAGATGTTTGTTAATTAAAACCACGAGCAAAATAAGCTGTCTGAGGAACTTCCGAGTGCCCTGGCGCCTGGGCAGCCTCCACTCTCGACTTCCAGCCCTGCTGAAAAGGACAGTTACCTTTGCCCTTGGGCAGGGCATGGCCGTGGCGCAGCCCCAGCCACCTGCCAAGGCATCTGTTAAATCAGTTTCTCCTTCCTAACTAGCCTTGAAGCCACCCAAACTGCCCCACTGTTTCCTAACCACCTTTGTTTCTTAGCATAGGTGTGGCGCCTAAAGAAACTCTCTAGGTTAGACAACTCGATTGAAACGTGTGTTTTTGCCTCCACGGTAGCTACACCCATAACATATACTAAGATTGCAAAGTCTGTTAAATGAGGAACTGTGTCAGCGTTCATCCATCCCCACTCCGTATCTACCACATCATCGTCAATAACCAAGGCATTAGTGCCTTTCACTTTTAAAAAATATATATTTTTTTTCTGTGTATGAGTGTTTTGCCTTCATGTATATTTGTGAGCCATACGCTGCCTGGTGCCTCTGGAGGCCAGAAGAGGGTATTGGATCTTCTGGAATTGGAGTTACAGGTGATTTTGAACCGTGTATGAGTGCTGGGAATCAAACCCAGGTTCCCTGAAAGAGCAGCAACCAGTGATCACTGAACCATTTCTCCAACTCCTTCCTTGCATTGTAATACAGAGCCTACCTGTAAGTCCTAAAATTTCACTTTTCTGCATTTAACTTAATTGCATGTTGAAGGATTCATGGGTTGGCCTGCCTTAGGTAAACTACAAATTACTTGTGGCCCCCACTTAGCCTGAGTTTAGTTGAGAAACGTAGATTATAAAACTGGGTAAAGGATACTCTGCCTACATTCTATTGATAGTTTCAAAAGTAAGTAATGCAAATTTATATATTATTAAAAACATACAAAGACAGCACAGTGGTGGTGCCTGCTTTTAATGCCAGCACTCAGGAGGCAAAGGCAGGCAGATCTCAGTGATTTCGAGGCTAGCCTGGTCTACAAAATGAGTTCCAGGACAGCCAGAACTGTTACACAGAGAAACCCTGTCTCAAGAAACAAAAACAAGTAAAACCAAAAATAAAGCATACAGACTACCACACCTTTTATCTCATCACTTGAGAGGCAAAGGCAGGTTCAAGTTCTGAAAGTTCAAGGCCAGCCTGATCTACATAGCAAATTCCACGGCAGCCAGGGCTATGTAGAGCAAGTCTCAAAAGCAAACAAAAACCATACAGCAACTCATGACCATTAACTCCAAAGGAAGAGATTTGGAGTCATAAAGAAAAGAAATAGGAACCTTCCATATCTTAAGGTCTTTCCCAGGAAACTATTGACAGCTCATAGTTAGAATGGTGTAGTTTAGTGTACCAATAAGACAGGAATGTTTAGTGGGAAGAAAGTCCTACCTATCTGATAGCAAGAAGTTATCACAGGCTTCATATTGTTGTGTAGAAATTAGTGGGACCTACTAACTAAGTTTAATTTCTAGATACAATATGGTTATGTTGTTATGGGAAAGAATACACTTGCTATGGTAGCTGCTACAATAGGCACCAGCTATCTTAAGAGTCTATACCAGTGTCAGACACTGAGATTTAAACCAACCTGTATTTTTAATATGCCAAACACAGCAATAGTTGTATCTAGGGTCAGAGAGGCATTAAGCCACAGTGAGGGGGGAATGTGTGGTAAGACTATTGAGGCAAAAGGAAGGGTTTGGAGTGACATAATAAAAAGACATTAAGCAATATTGATGGGGCAGATGGTGGCTAGAATTTAAGCAATGTGTTGTGAAAGCTGAGGACCTTACAGTTTCTTCCATGAGGATTGAGAAGTCACTAGAGAGTTGTTGCATGTGTTTTCAGTACTGTAACGATCATTGTGATGTTTTCTGGCCTTCATTGCTTCTTCTGAGGAGCAAGCTGCAATTCATTTTTAAAAAACTTTCTTTTGTGTGTTGAGTGTTTTGCTTGCATGTTTGTTAAGTGCACTGTGCTCCTGCAGTTCCCTCAGTGACCAGAAGAGGGCATTAGAGCCCCTGGATCTGCACTAACAGTTGTAAGTTGCCTTATGGGTGCTAGGAACCCAACCTGGGTTCTCTGAAAGAGCAGCAAGTGTTCTTAATGGAGGAATCATATCTCCAACCCCAAGTTGTAATTCTTGGAATCTTTTATTTATTAACTGTGGTAGTTTGAATGTAGTTGGCCCCCATAATCTCATAGAGAGTTTCACTATTAAGGAGGTGTGACTTTGTTGGAGTGGGTAGGGCCTTGTTGGAGCAAGTGTGTCACTGAGGGGCAGGCATTGATGTTTACTATGCTCAGGTTACTGCCCAGTGTCTCAGTTGACTTCTTGTTTCCTCCATCAATAGCACTCTCAGCTCCAGCGCGACATCTGCCTGCATGCCTCCATGCTCCTGTCGTGATGATAATGGACTGACCCTCTGAAACTGTAAGTCAGCCGCCCCAATTAAATGTTTTCTTTAAGAGAGTCACTGTGGTCATGGTGTATCTTTGCAGCAATAGAAAGTCTACCTAAGACATTAGCATTTATTTGTGTGTGTGTGTGTGTGTGTGTGTGTGTGTGTGTGTGTGTGTACATGCATGTGTAGAGTTAGTTCTCTCATTCAACCATGTGGGTTCCAGGGATCCAGCTTGGGTCATCAGGATTAGTGGCAAGAGCCCTTCTCCACTGAGCCATCTCTCTGTAGCTCTTGTTGCTTTTCTGTGTGTTATGTCTTTTCGCCCTAGTTGTTTTAAGATTCTATAGCTTCATCCTCAACACCAAAGATGCACTGTTAAGTTGCACTGCTCCCGGGTGTCTCTTTCCATTCTTCCCGCCAGGAATTCATGTACTTCCCCAGATTTCTGAGTCGCTGGTTCTTATTTTCCACCTTGAATCAAATTGGAAAACATTCGGTTAATATTTCTTCCAAACTTTCCCACCTGATTTTCGTTCCTCTGCTTCTGAGACAGCAGTCACATTTCTGCTGCACTTCTCAGTGCAGTCTCTGTTCTCTCCGCGCCACCACCCACCACCGGCCTCCACGTCCTCTTCCTGTGCTTTCATTTCTGCGTGTGCACTTGCGTCCGTGAGCATCCACTGCAGGCTGCACCCGTACGCTGCCCAAGCATTCCGTCACCAGGCTATATACCCAGCCCTTTCAACGTTCTAAGATTTGTATGTAGGATCTTGCTAAATTACCTAAGCTGTACTCAAATTTAGGAGCACTCTGCCTTAGCTTCCTAAGAAGCTAAGATTATAGGTTTATACCTCCATGCCTGCTCAGGTTACATGATGTCTATTGGGAACTAACGTCTAGTAATACCTGAAAAATCTAAATGCCAACATTTCCCCAAAGCTAGGTATCTTATTAGAGCCTTTGGATTTGTTTGAAGATGATTTGCCCCTTCGCTGAGGAAAACAGAAATCACAAGGCATCACAATGGAGAAGATTTAGATTATGTGTTAATGGACTAGAAAAACTGAAGCCAGGTTTGGTGCCTCGTGCCTCTCATCCCATCATTGAAGAGGCAGATGCAGGAAGTCACCCCAAGTTCAAAGCCATCCAGGGGTATAAAGTGAGATCCTGTCTGAAATAGACCCTCCTCCCCCAAAAAAGTTCAGGGATGGAGGGCCAGTAGTGACACTGAACACTGAGGTAACCCAAAAGACATTGTGTTTCATGGATCAACTACCACCATTAGGGCTAGGAAAAGGGAGAATCAGGTTTGATAGGATTTCAGAAGCACAGAGACATGACTCAGCTGGAATATAGCTCAGACGTCCAGGAGGAAACTGTACAGCTGGCCCTTCTACTGCTCAAAGGGAATGATGTTGTAGGCAGGAATGATGTTGTAGGAAGGAATAATGTCAAAAGTAACTTAAGGGTAGCATTAATTCCTGCTACTGCTGGGGTAAAAGAGCAGCATACACTAAAGGTAAGTAGAAAGAGAAAAAATCCCTTCTCCACCTTCTAATCTTTCTCTAGTAACTTTTTGCTTTCTTATTTATTTATTTGTTTGCAGGACTGGGATTGAATCTACAACACCTTGCTACATAATAGGTAACTGCTCTGCCACCCAGCTTAGTCACAGTAGCTGCCCCCCTTTTTGAAAACAGGTCTGTCTAAGTTGCCAAAGCTGACCTTGAACTTATGATCTACCTGCCTCAGCCTCCCAAGTAGCTAGAATTACAGGCGTTGCTAGCAGGTTCAGCCCCTTGGTAATGTCCTTTGTAGGCAAACCCAGTGTGAGAGACACTAGCTAGCACCATAAAAATGAAATGTCTAGGGTCTGAGCCTTAACATCACATAGAAAAGTATAGATGGGTGGGTGGGAGCTAAGAGACAGTACCTTAATAATCATTATCACATCAAATGTACTTGTGAAGAATTAATAACGGCCCAAATTAAACTCAAATTAATGATACCTTGTGTTCTTTTACAGACCTAGAGGCTGTGTTGTGGAGAGTCTCAAGAGATCATGTCAATTTTCTGCTATACCTTGGTTAGTGCTAGTGTGTTAAAAACAATTTAGTCTTAATTTTTCTTTATTCTTGAGAATTTCATACATGTATACAATAAAAACTAATCATATCCAACCCCATTTCCTTCCTCTAACTCTTTCCTCATATGCCCATATGCCTCTCATCATGTCCCCCTCCCAACTAATGACTTGTTTGTTTGTTTTTCGAGACAGGGTTTCTAACCCATTAAATCCAATCCGATTAGTGCTCATATGTAGTGGGGGACGATATACCCATAGGAACAAAAAATTATTCTCCCTCCCTCCGCAGGTCTCAGCCACCAATCACACAGCAAGGCGTGGGTCCTGGAAAGTCCCTCTCCATCTATGCTGCAATTGTGGCTGGCTTCATCTTGTGCAGCTCTTGCACAAGAAACCACATCTGCTGTGGTTCCTCAGTGCAAAAGACATGTTGCTGGGTTTGTCTTTTTTTTTTTTTAAGGAGTATGGCATGTCTGCTTTACTTACATACTTACCATAGAATCATAAACGGGAGCAGAATTCATTATACCTTACATTCATTCCCTATATACTGCCTAATGTGGCCTACTATAAGACAAACTTTCCAGCTCCTGAAAATCCACCTTTTCTTTACTCCTTTTACTTATCTCAACTCAAGGCCTTTAGATTTTTAGTGGAAAGATGGACTTTAGTGTCCAACATTTTATCCTATGTGCAATTTTCATTAATGAATATTTTTGAATATCGAAGGATGCTTGCTGCACATTTGTAGGACATTAAGAATAAACTTTTGTTCAGCTGAGCAATGGTGCTACATGACTCTAATCCCAGCACTCAGGAGGCAGAGGCAGGAGGATCTCTGAGAGTTTGAGACTAGCCTGGTCTATAGAGAGAGTTTCAGAACAACCAAGGCTACACAGAGAAACCCTGTCTGAAAAAAAATGAATAAACATTTCTCCCCAGACTTAGTGGCTCACACCTTTAATGCCAACACTTGAGAGACAGAGGCAGACAGGTCTCTGTGAGTTCAAAACCAGTCTGGTCTACATAGCAAACTCCAGGACAGTCAAGACTTCACAGAAAAACCCTTTCTCAAAACAAAACAAAAACATTTTTCAAGTTTTAGAAGTTTATAACCTAAAATAAATTATAAAAAAGAAGTTTATAACCACAAAAATTCAATTGGAGACTCCTACTCTTGTGTCTTTGGTGATGGAGAATGATACCCTTCTACCACAATTATTTTTATTAATAATTATAAATACACAAAGTTCATAACATAGTTCATCTATTTAATATTTATGCTTTAATATATTGGCCTGGAATATCTTCCCACATGTGCATAATTATTTATACTATATAGTACTCTATCAATTATATAACACAAAAGACATCTACAGGTAAATATTAAAAGGGCAATGTACATGTTAATAACTAGACATTAACAAGATAATAATAACCAGGTATTCATTTAATGGGAGAGTCCAGTATTTCCTGATAATCTTCCCTCCTTACATTCCTCCAGTACAGTTTATAGCCAGCAAGGACGAATACACTAATCATAATGATCACCCCTCCAAAAACATCATAAACACTAGGAAATATGTGTAGCACTAGAAGCTGTAAGACCATAGCTACCACAATCTCCAGATGCTGTACTGTGCTGACCAAAGCTGGGTGGAATTTGTCTAAGGCATAATAAACTCCTAAGAATGCTACAGTAGAACAGATACATATAGCAATGAGATAGCTCCACGTCTCTCCATCTAAAGGGATAATAGGTTCTTGAAGGACAAACATAGTAGATACTCCCCAAATTGTCCCAGTCCAACCAAAGGTGAACAGTGCAGTCCACATGCTGATCTTCTCCCTGATGGATCTGTACACTATCATAGAAAGGGCAGTGGTCAGTCCGGCCATCACAGTCATAGTGTACCCAAAGGCTTCTTTCCAGGCATTTAACAAAGAATTGTCCTCGTCGACGATGTTGGGAATCATGACCAGACAAACACCTATGATACTGCAAACCACTGTGGCCATGTCGACATAAGCCATTTTCTCATCCACAAGTAGAAATGCTAGAACGGCGCTGAAGACTGTGGTTGTGGCTCTCCACATCGTGGTCCCGTTGCTGGGAGGAACTATTGAAAAGGAGGTGTAAGCACAGGTGATAGAAATCACATTGCATACACCGTAAAAGAAAAGTCGTAATCTGTATCCGCTGGGTCCAAAAGGAGCTTCTTGGTAATAACACACAACTAACACCGATAAGACCTGCAACACAGAACGGATAAAAATCAGTTCTAGAGATGGAACTTTAGAACGGTCAGAAACAAGCCTAGTGATGAGCGCCACACATCCATGAGCCAAGGCAGAGCCGAACAGCACTATCCACATTTTTCGGGACTGAAAAATGTTTTTTTCTGCAAAACTCTGGAATTGTGCCATCCCACTGCCTCTCGAGTCTTCTGTTAGTGGAGGCTGAGTGTCCATGGTTCCAAACAAAGTTCTTCCTTTTCTCTTCATTTCACTCAGCAGACTTCTCTTTGGATTCTCTTCCATGAATCTGCCATAGTCTTCATTGATTTCTTCATACCCGTCGTCGCCAGGTTGGGGATAATGAGAGGTATATTTCACCATAACTGTGTTGGGATGTATTTTCACCCGTTTTTTAACTGGATATTTTTTGGATGGAGAATTATCCATTTCTTCAGATAAATTCTATTTAAAGAAATGAAAAGAAAAATATACATGTTTATTGCATTGAAAAAACACATTACTATTTTACACCCATACACATACACACATTAATTCAGTGATGGAAGATAGATATTATAACAAAATTCTGGAAAGGATTTTATATATAAGGAATATATATATATATATATATATATATATATATATGGAATATATAACAAAATTCTGGAAAGAAAACAGTAAGATTTGATCTGGTGTATGCATTATCACATATGCGAAGCCCAGTAGGATTTTCCACCCTCCTATCGCTCCTATTGTAAACCTGTCCCAATGTCTCACTGTATTTGCTCTTATTTAGCTCTTTTGTTTATTTTGGTTAATTGGGTTTTTTTTTTTTTTTAGCCCATGCTGACCATGAACACTTGAGCTTCCTGCCCCCAACTCCCAACCTCTAGGGTTAGAAACATATACCACAGATCCAACTAGTCTTTCAGCTTTATGCCTCATTCGTACATGACACACTGATATTTTCCCATCTTTTCATTTCTACCCATCTTTAAAGAAAAACACAAAAAATAAGAAGCACCATCAATCACACCTTGCCTTTTTATTGTGTTCATTTGTCTATGTTCTAAGTTGTAAATACATAAATCCAAAGTATTTTAAAGATTTTTTTAAAAATTTGTGTGTGTGTGTGAGTGTGTGTGTGTGTGTATGTGTGCATGCACATAGGTATGCAGATATCCTCACAGGCCAGAAAAGGGAGTTGAATTTCCTGGAATTAGAGTGTAGATAGATTGTTGTGAGCCACCTCCCATGGGTGCTGGGAACTAAACTAAAAGAGCAGGAAGTGCTTTTAACCACTGAGCCTCTCATCAGTCCCCAAAATTATTTTACATAATTCTATATAATAACAAGATCTAAACCAATCCCAGCACTTAGTATTATGATATGCTGTTGGTTAGAGAAATATTAAGCATCCTTCAAAGTAAGGATTGAAGAAATACTGAATATAAAAAAGTATATGTAGTAAACTTTCAATAAATTAGCAGTAGGTTTGGCTATTTTCACCTATAATTATCCTATGAAACACTGGGTATCTTCTACAGTGTTTTCTTCCTCACTGTCTGCCTTCCTATCTTTCTTTGAAGAATTTCCTTTCCTTCTCAGTGATTCTTTTCTTCTGCCTTAAGAGATGATCTGGCATTATACCTGACCAGACATGTGGAACCAACTGAAGTTATCCACCCTAAAAGGGAAGAGACAACGGAGAAAAGGGGAAATTTTTCTTTCCTCATGACTTCCCAAATCCTTGACCAAGCTCATCAATCCAGGACTTAAACCATGACCCCAGAATCAGATCCAGTTCTATTCTTTTGACGTCGTCTGGATAGCCAGCTGTTGTGTCTACTCCTTTTCTTCTTCAGCTGAACGAAGTCATGGAAAAATATCACCCATGTCTCCAGACCCTCCAGACCTAACCAGCCTCCTCCTGCGGTGTCGCCAGCAGACTGAGCTCAAGAAAATCGACTGTTCTTTATTCCTCACTTCTCTCCAATTTCTTTTTAAAAATCATGGCTTTAGAATGAATGACCTGAAGCTCAGTCACAGTCTCAAAGGCACTGCCTTCCCACTTCTGCTGCTGATCTCGCAGTCCTTCCAGATCCCCGAGCGGGAAACCAAGAAGCGCTCTGGATTCTCCTTCCCACCGTCACACTCCAAACTGACTCTTTCTTACGGTTTTTATCCTTGAAATGTTTCTTGGATTTTTCTTTCTCTAATTCCACATTAATGTTATTATTCTAGAAGAAGCCAGTGTAGGTTCCATACCACAGTATTACCCTGGCATCCTGTCTGGTTTCTTTGAGTTCCGGCCCTCCTCTAAATCCCACAGGTGTTATCCTGTTGTTACATGTTGTCTTTAAAAGATTCAGAACAAAAACTTTCCTCCAAGTTTTCCTCATCCAAGAACCAAGAGTTCTCTTCAGATCTCCTTTCTCCACTATCAACATCAACTAACTCAGTGCACCCTGTATTCCCAACACTTAGGAGGTAGAGGCAGGAAGACCAGGAAGTAAAAGCCACCCTCAGCTACATAGTGAGTGGGTTTGAGACTAGCCTGGGCCACATGAGATTCAACTCCTCTTGCCAGGCACTTGATACCCTGCTTAGTGTGGGCCTGGTCTGTACTTAGCCTCTTGGCATCCACACTTTGATCCACAAATTGTGTGGTGTCCCCCGACCTTGTACCATGTGTGTAAAAACTCATTTCCCAAGCTTTTATTCCACTAGTTTCTCCTCTGCTCCACCGTTCTAAATACTGATCGTCTGTTAGGAACTAATTCAAATTCTGTCTTTAGGAGCAAGCCTTCTTTGACTTCTCCAGACACTTCTTCATCTAAACAATTGCAG